TTTCCTTTTTATCTGCTAACCATCTTGCACCGCCGCACACTCTTTGCGGGACACGCCGCCCGACCTCCTGTCGAAAAGACTTTCGACGCAAGGCTCGAACCGCAGATCTTTTCTTCGCTGGGCTACACCATTTTGATCCGCCAAATCATCTTGTACCGCCGTGGCTATAACTTCACGGGACACGCCGCCCGATCTCACTTTTGAGTGAAGATTATTGTTGTTTGGTGTTCCAAGTTATTACTTGATGATTATGTGTACCTCTAATTGATTTAGAGAGGATTCTTGGTGTACCCACTGATTTTCTTGGTGATTAGTGGAAGGCTTCGTGGTTTTCTCCCCGATTTGGGGTTTCCACGTTAAATCTTGGTGTTCGTTTATCGCTTGATTGATTGCTTGTTGTTGTTTTTTGCTATTCTTGATTGGTCATATGATTTTGCCCATTTTGACAACACAAAGACGGGAAAATTATTTATTGCTTCCGCTAGAAAATTGAGGTGATTTTCCCTACAATTGGTATCAGAGCTTGAGTTATATTTTTGGGTGTTTTTCTTGTGTTGCTAAAATGGAGGATAAAGCTGTTTTTGGGGGGATGATTAAATTAAACTCCTCCAATTATCAAAGTTGGAAACCCAGGATGGAAGATATTTTATATATTAAGGATTTGCATGAACCGATCTTGAATAAGGAGATGCCAAGCGGTAAACAAGAAAATACTTGGAAATTGCTTAATCGGAAAACTGTGGGAATGATTAGGCAATTTATTGAAGATAGTGTGTTTCAGCATGTTGCTAATGATACCAACGCCTATGAACTGTGGGAGAAACTCAAATGCATGTACGAGAGAGAAAATGCCCTGAATAAAGCCTCTATTATGAGAAGACTTGTGAAACTTGATTACAGGGATGGGCATAGTGTGGTAGAGCATTTGAATGATTTTCAAGGATTGATTAACCAATTTTCTTCAATGAAATTGGTTTTAGATGATGAATTGCAGGCGTTGTTGCTCCTCAGCTCGTTGCCAGAAAGCTGGGAGACCTTGGTTGTATCACTTAGCAATTCTGCTCCAGAGGGTAAGCTCACAATGGATGTTGTGAAGTCGAGTCTGCTAAACGAAGAAGCTAGGAGAAGAGATCTGGGTTCTTCCAGCTATTCAGATCAGGCTCAGGTTGCTCAGATAGAGGGTCGTGGAAGACACAGACATAGGGACTTTGAATCCAGGGGGAGATCTAAATCAAGAAGCGAAGTGAAATGCTTCTATTGTGATAAACCGGGTCATAAGATATCTCAGTGCAGGAAGATGAAGCGAGATAAAGCCCAGCAGAAAGAGGAAAATGGTCAGACTTCTGAGAAGAAAGAGGAAAAAGACACAGCAGCCCTTGCAGATGCGGATGATTTATTCTTCGTGTTTGATGACACTAACTTTGATGTTGCTTTTCAGGATTGCACTTGGATTATTGATTCGGGTGCCTCATGTCATCTCACACCTCATCGGGAGTTCTTCTCATCTTACACTAGCGGTGATTTTGGCTATGTCAAGATGGGGAAGGGTGACAAATCATCTAAGATTGTTGGGATGGGCACTGTTTGTTTGAAGTCCAACACTGGTTGCAGGTTGACCCTCAGAGATGTCAGACATGTTCCAGAGTTTCAGTACAACCTCATTTCAGCTGGAGGACTTGACGGAAATGGCTATGTTAGCCGCCTTAGTGAAGGAAAGTGGAAGCTCACCAAAGGTTCTTTGATCGTGGCCCGAGGTATAATAGAGAATAGGATTTACGTGATGCAAGCAAAGATGTGCAGAGGAGATCAGAATAATGCGCCCTCCACGGAGACATCGCACAAGAGGCTTGGTCACATGCTTGAGAGTTGTCAGAATATCCTCCCTGAAGGTGATATTCCTTTTCTTACCATACATTCAGATTATGGGGGAGAAGATGGAGAAAAATGTTGTGGCGATGATGTTGCTCGTGATGGTGATGTACTTGAGCCACCTCATTCCGAGCATGGAGTTCCGCCACAGAGGGATCCTCAAATGGGTATATTTGAGAGAGATTGCTATCGGGATGAAGTGAAGAAGGTGCACCAAAGTGAATGGTTTCAAGCCAAGCGAGATGAGGTTATATCCTTGCTTGATGGACATGGTCATTCCCTGGTAAAGTTGCATGGAAGCAAGCGAGCACTCAAGAGCCATCGGGTGTTCAAGTTGAAGAGAAGAGAGTGTTGCTCACAACCTACGGACTTGGCGCAGTTGGTTGTGAAAGGTTTGTTTGATAATTATCATCATTGAGTTTCACCCCCCATGTAGGAGTGAGGGGGAGATTTGTTGGGGTATCCCTCCTACATGGAGAAAGTAGTTCCTAAACAATTCATTTAGTGTTAAAATGTAATTTGTTTAGAGGTGGAGTATAATAATAATAATAATAATAATAATATTTATTATTATTATTACAAGAAAAGAAAAAAAAAGAGTCAAAGTGGGGGTGCCACTTTTTGAAAGGCAATAGCCTTTTGTGGGTAGGCTGGTCACGGGCAGAAGAACACGGCAGAAACAGAGAGAAAATGTTGGGACTGACGTGCCCTCACCCCAACCCCGCATTAGTATGATATTGTCCGCTATGGGCCAAGCCCTCACGGATTTGTTTTTGAGCACCTCCCAAAAGGCCTCATACTAATGGGGTTGGGTGAACCTATATATTTTGGTCCATTTTTTCTTCTCCCTCCGGTGTGGGACTTGGAGGAATCCCCAACAAACCTCCCCTCAACCAAGGACCACACAATTTCCGACCTCCCCTCCAGCGGTAATCCTTTTTTCCTTTTTATCTGCTAACCATCTTGCACCGCCGCACACTCTTTGCGGGACACGCCGCCCGACCTCCTGTCG